TATTATAAATTTTTTTGGCAGTGTCCTTTGATGCTTGCTTTAATTCAACTAATATCGCGACATTAGCTCGCAGACTCCAGAGTAAAGTACTTGTAGCTCTCCATTGATATAATTTTTTATGTTCTCATTATCAATTTACATTTTCTCATAAGGAATTTTCGTTTTCTCATTATCAATCTATATATTCTCATTTTGAACTTACATTCCTCATTATCAGTTTATATATTCTCAATATGAATTTATATTTCCCATTATCAATTTTTATATTCTCATTATGATTTTATATTTCTCATTATCAACTTATATATTCTCAATATAAATTTACATTTCTCATTATGAAGTTGTACTTTCTCAAGATGAATTTACGCTTCTCATTATCAATTTGGGATTTCTCAATATGAATTTACATTTTCTCATTATAAACTTGAAAAGGTGTAGAGAAAATTTTTTTGAAGCATTTTACAGGTATATGTAACGTTATAAGGACTAGTAGTTATAAAAATATTTAGATCGTTTCGACGTAATTTCCGAATTCGCTTTTAGTTAAGATGTTTTTGGAATAAAATTTACGCTCAAGATCGCAGAATATTTTATCTTTAAAAGTTGGTTTATTCTGAAAGCACACCTCTTGCTAAGGCATCAAATTATTCGTAATTGTTTGCAGAATACAATACATGCTTAAAAAGTTCTGAAAATTAAATGCTTCAAAAACTATACGCGATAAACCGAAAATTTTGAAAATTGTGAAATGTGGAGTTACAGACTTTGAGTTACTTGCCATTTCGTTATTTTTGAATGCACACTTTTCTTACTTACTACATATGAAGTGTACACATAAATGCTAAATTCCCATTAAATTTCAAATCAGAATATGGTGTGCTTCAAAAGTTATGACATAATTAATTGTGCCCCTCTTAAAAATTACATAAAAAATTCACTTGTTTTCATTATTATTTTTTAATTTAAACACCTATAATTCAAAAGTTATGCAGCAAATTAATTCAAATTTTTTTGAGGCAACCAGCTTGATATACATAGTTTACGACAGTGAAAATAGAGCTAAATAACACCATATGCGTACATCAGAGTGGTGGCGTTTCCCTGATTTAGACGTACTTATATCCAAAATATGCTGAGTGGCGGGGAATATCAAAATACAATGTTGGGCGTTTCGATTCATGAAGCTTTTATGATTAGGCGAAAACATGATTATGAATCGTAATATATGTACAGAGTTTCATTGAAATACATGTGTTCGGTATAGAAGCTTCATACTTTAATATGCCGGAACGATTACACTACTATGAGTAGGCGCTTAAAGTGCGGAGTGCCTTATATAACCAAATAGAACTATCTCAAGATTACTACCTTGTAGTGCAATTAAAAATTCTATATATTCTTTAACATATTGCTTATTTGCTTCAATAGTGCCTGCATTTTTTTGTAAGCGAGCGACAAAAGAACGCTCAACGCGGGTAGAATTTCCATTTAGCTACTTAAGCAACCCTGTTGGTAGCTGGCAAGAAACAAGTGATTAGTTTAACGGGATTTAGATACAAAAACCAATTTAAATGAGTAATTATGCGAGATATTTGCGTAATATATACACTTATTTAAAATGTAAGTCACGTATATAAGGAAACAAAAATGTTGCTCTCCACTATCCCATTAACAATTCACAATAGAGCAGTTTCTTCACTTAACACTACCCTTCAGGTCGCGTATTTTTAAACCGACCTGGCTGAACTCGGATAAATAGCCGAATTTGTGTTGTTGCTTTGCGTGTATTTCGTCATTTAAGCGAGTGTTCTTTTGTAGCTCGGTTGCAAAACTTTGTGTCATAACTCAAAAAAGGGATACTCGAGAAAAACGGCTTTGAAGTTTTAAACACAATATAACCAGTAAACAACCTTCAGTGAATTTGGCGAAACAAAAAATAATTAACTCCAAATAGTTTCAAAAAGTATAGTGTAAAACGAAATTTATTGAATCATTCCACATAAAATGGTATACATATATGACTCATTTTCTAAACGATTTAAATAAAACGCATTTCATAACCTTTTTTGTGCAAACGGCATTTGCGAATTGATAGAAAAGTACTACGAATTGTAAATTTTTGTTAACTATGAGGTGAATGAAAATTTTCAACCCGGCCTGACGGTTTTGAAGAATTTGTTTGTTCTAATTTTATTACTAAGGCGTCTAATAAATGCATGGCTTTAGTTCTTGAAGAATAAATGTCAGTAAAGACAAGTCTTTTTTGTATAATTTCTGATTTTAATTGCTCAACTTCTTTTGCACCAGAGCAACTGTCAAAAATTTCCAGCAGTACAAAGTTACGAATTGGCACAGCAGAGATATAAAATTTTCTCGTCTTAATAAAAAATCTTTCCAATATGGAACTTTTCTACTAATTGACATGAAATTATTATCTCAACGCTCGGAGCGCTGCCACTGAGAGCCTTTGCCAACTGATAAAAAAGAAAAAATTTGGAAAGACCAAACGAAAATTTTGAGATTTCTCGTTGTGAATACGAATGCCATAGTTTTTACCTAGCTCGTGGGACTACGCAAAATTTTGACAGCTTGTAAATATGTATACACATAAAGTTGTTGGCGGTAATAAAGAGTCAAAATCAAAATGGAGAAAAGAACAAAAAGCGTACGTTAGTTGTCAGTTATAAAATAAATCCAATTTATTTGCGAATATTTGTTTATTCTATTTATTGAAAAGCAACCACGTGGAAAACCTTGTGTTAATTATATTGATAACAGAACCTGGCAGTTCGCACGTTGTCTAAATTCTCAAGTAACATAAAATCCACAAAAGAATGCATTGCTTGTATTACCATCAATACGCCATGTATAAATTTTAACAACACACAAAAATAAAGCTTTCGCACGAGCAGCACACAACCCTGAAATCTAAGAAAAAGTCTGAGGAAGGCCATTAAACAGCAGCACACAACCCCGTGCCTTCCTCAGGAGTGAATATAACTACAACAACAACCCAAAAAGGTTGGTTACTGTCTATACTGTGGTTTTAAATTTACATATACTCCCATAGTAAAAATGAATGCATATTTTGGTCTAGTGAAATACTGGTAATCAATACAGCTATGAAACTTTTACTCCACATGGAAGAAAACGTAGCGGTATTTTTTGATTATTTCTAATTATGTTTAATTAACAATTACCAGATTTCGAAGGGAAATTAAAATATCCATTAATACAACCATTGACAAATAATCATAATGATTCCTAATACTAATCGTATTTTACAGCTCTGCGTTGCATATCTGTACATACATACATATCTTTAAAAATTGCTAATCATTAGAGTCCGTATCGGCACAAAATTAAGCATCGGCATCGGCCTTTTTTCGCCGATTCTTTGCCGATTATTTGGAATTTATTTTCCCATGTTCAGGTGAAGCGACAGACAACAACCAACATCAAAAAACATTTGATTAATTTTTTCTGGTTGAAGGTATTTTACATTTTTTCCTTACAAAAGTTTGTTCGACAATTTTCTTTTATATGGACTCTGCCAGCAAAAAAATTTCCAAAAATTAACGGGACAGCTTGAAACTTGCACTTCATTATACTCGAATTAAATGGTCTACAAAACTGCATACCAAAATTCTGAGTTTGAAATTTCGGTGAAAATAAGCAAAATTTTTCTAATTTTTGTACACAGCTTGAAATCTGAATTTATATGGTGTTTGTTGTATACCAGCTAGACTTTTATAAAAATAAATAATAAACATTAAATAAACAAAAGACAAATGCCAAATGCCAAAACCGGTCAAAATATCGCAATTCTTTTATTTTGTGGACCACTATATGTATGTATGTACATTAGAGTGGTCCAAAAACAGTTAAGTCGGAATTGTAATGCTCTCACCCCCTAGGATTATACTATATCGAAAAAAGTATGCCCCTATTTTTTTATTTTGAAATCAAAAAATATTTAGAGGTCGCTCAAAGCGCTCAAAGTTTTCCATGTATTTTTATATGGCAAACATACATTTTTTCGTAGAAATGGTATAGAATTCTTGAAAGTCAATATTTTTCGATGGGAAAACTCTGGTTCTCTTCAGGAGACTTTCAATAATAATACCCAATTGTTTATTTAGCCATTTTTTAATACTAACGATTTTTTATTGGTCACCCCCTTACATTTTTCGGGGTTTTTGGCGGACCTATAAATTATAGTTGCAATAAAAATATGGTTAACTACCCAATTGGGTATTATTATAAACAGATAAACAGAGTTTTCTGGTAGAAAAATATTGATTTTTAACTATTCTATACCATTTCTACGAAGTGTTTTTTCCCCCATATAAAATACATGGAAAACTTTGGGCGCTTTGAGTGACCTGTAAATATTTTTTGATTTCAAAATAAAAAAAAATAAGGGTATATTTTTTTCGGTATAGAACAATCCTAGGGGGTGAGAGCATAAAAATTCCGACTTTACTTTTTCACATGCGTTTTTGGACCACCCTAATGCATATACATACCTAGCACATAAGTTCTTATGCATTGAGTACAAAAGTACATTAGACTGCATCACCAAAAAAAGTTGCGTTTGCGTTGCGATTACAAAATATATTATATTTTAAGACGTCCACCAAAATATTTCGGAAAAATATTAAGATTTAAGTGAGCTTAAAGATTTTTTTTTTGAAAAAATCCCCTCAAATGACAAAACGGTTTAAGCTTAAAATATTTGCATAAAAATATTTTTAAAAAAAATTTAAAAAAAATTTTGAACGGAATCGTATGAGATGTACGTACATGTGTATGTAAAGTTGCATAACAAGCCAATTAATACAATTATTTGTTTTCTTTTGTTTTGTTAACTCCGTTAAATTAACTGATTTGTAATTTTTTATGGAATCGGGATCAGCATCGGCATCGGCCGATTCTTTCCCCATAAGCCGATTAATCGGCATCGGCATCGGTACCTGAAAAAAAAATTGGAATCGGTCGGACTCTACTAATCATTATCCTTTGTACTTTTGCAGAATCTGTCGCCTTCAACACCAGGCACCGATACACCTTTATGTTTGATACCACGGCCTGTTGGAGGCATTACACAGGAGCAGCTGTCTGTAATTTCACGTTTTGCGATGGCCTCCGTTGGCTCACAGGGCACCGTAGGTGGACTTATTGTGGCCGGTATTGTAAGTTTATATGAGTCTCGTTGTAGCCTAAAAACGCGTGTTTTCTATCTATTTATATATATTTTGTAATAGATGTTGAAGACAATAGGTTGGAGAGTATTACTAGGAGTCGGAGCTTTATACGGTTGTATATACTTGTATGAGCGCTTATCTTGGACAAATTCAGCGAAGGAACGCGCCTTTAAATCACAATATGTGCGTCATGCAACTAAAAAGTTAAAAATGATAGTCGATCTAACGTCGGCAAATTGCAGCCACCAAGTGCAACAGTAAGTTTTATATACTGTTTTTATTTGATTGAATAATGGTAAATACAAGTGTTTAATTTTGCAGGGAATTATCAAGTACCTTTGCTCGGTTGTGTCGTTTGGTTGATAATGCCACAACAGACATGAACGAAGAACTAAAAAGCCTTGAATCACAACTAGCAGTTCTTGAATCGAATCAAAAGCAGCTTAAACTGTTGCGCAACAAGGCTAACTATATTCAAAATGAACTAGATATTTTCGAAAACAATTACATTAGGCAAAACTAATTTTAATTAAAAAATGCATGCGTTTAACGCATTGATGTAAGATTGATGGAGAATATGACTATTAACAGATTGGAAGTGGCGTATAGTAAAATTAACAATTGTAAAGCAAAAATAATTCAACAAACACTTACACTGATGTAAAATTTCATAGTTACTATCAAAAGACCCAATCGAAAGCATTGGACAAGTTTTGTATTTACTAAAATGTGTCAAGCACTCCTCTTGTAGATAATGCTTAATATTGTCATTAACAGAGTTGTATGGTTACCCTTATACTTTCATAAATCCATATTTGAATTTTTGTGCAACTCCTATGTATTTGATTATGTTGCTCATATTTATGTATTTTACTTTAATAATTATTTTTCTACTGTGACCCAGGGTCCGCAGCATTTGGCAATTTGGTAATTTTGTTATGACCGATACTTCTTTAAAAATATATTGTTTTTGTTATGGCAAAACTCAAAGCAAAAAAAAAAATCTTGTTTAATTTATTAAAATGTTTACTAAGTGGATAAACAGTCGAATTAAATAATTTACGAATAAAAAATCACAAAATTCAAAACAGCGTACAATTTTAATACCCAGCTAGCCTTTAGATTCTCAAATGCCGTTTATTACATGCCTATTTATCGACTGTCATTCAAAGCGATAAGCGTGTTTAGAACTGTTTGCTTGTGCATAATATTCCGCTATTCCCAACCAATAATAATTTGCTCTTAAATTGTTATTGCCTTTTGCATCTCATTTCTACACATGTGCGTATATCGAAGGCCCGAGCTAATTTATCTCAACTGGTTGTTGTTGGCCACGTCAGTGGCTCCCAGCGAGGAGCTGCTTGCAGAGCATTATGTTATGCTCCTTTACTGGGAGCATCTGGGCCTCGTCATGAAGGTGGTGTTGAGGCGTCATCCGGAGGCATCCTGTCGCAGTTCGTAATGCTGTGTTTTGGCAGGTCTGTAGCTTCATCCACTGCGTCCTGATAGTCCCCGGCGACGATACGGGCGCTGCGTAGTTTAGAACCGGCCGGCCAATTGCCTTGTATGTTGCCAACAACGTTTCTTTATCTTTGCCCCAAGTGCTGCCGGCCAGCGACTTGAGGACATTGTTGCGGCTCTGAACTTTGTTGACAATTGCGGTTGTATGCGCCGAGAAGGAGAGCAGACTGTCGAAGGTAACTCCGAGGATTTTCGGGTTATTCACCGTCGGTATTGTTACGCCATCGACGTGAATACCCAGTGGCAGTCTGACCTCCTTCGTCCAGGTGGTGAAAAGGGTTGCCGAGGATTTCGCAGGGGATAGGGCAAGGCTCCTTGCAGTGAAGAAGCGAGAAAGTCCGGAGAGGTAACCGTTTACTTTCGAGCACAAGTCATCAATTCCATTCCCAGACGCCATGATCGAACAATCGTCAGCATACGAGACTATATTAACACCCTCTGGTGGCTGAGGAAGCTTTGATATGTAGTAATTAAACAGTAGCGGGGACAGGACACCCCCTGTTTAATTTTGCGTGGCTTGCTAGTTTTGTCTCTCAAAATTACTGACGAGTGTCGACCACTCAGGTAATTCGCCGACCACCGTTTGAGTCCCTGTGGGAGTGAGGAGGCCTCTATATCTTCTAGCAGCGTTGAATGACTGACAGTGTCGAACATCAATTCCATTCCCAGACGCCATGATCGAACAATCGTCAGCATACGAGACTATATTAACACCCTCTGGTGGCTGAGGAAGCTTTGATATGTAGTAATTAAACAGTAGCGGGGACAGGACACCCCCTGTTTAATTTTGCGTGGCTTGCTAGTTTTGTCTCTCAAAATTACTGACGAGTGTCGACCACTCAGGTAATTCGCCGACCACCGTTTGAGTCCCTGTGGGAGTGAGGAGGCCTCTATATCTTCTAGCAGCGTTGAATGACTGACAGTGTCGAACGCCTTGGACAGGTCCAACGCTACTAGAATAGTTCTCTCACAGGGGCGGTTTCGGTTTAGGCCACGAGTTATCTGAGTGTTTATGGCGTTAAGTGATGTTGTTGTACTATGCACTTTACGGAACCCATGTTGATGCTTCGCTGGGGTCAGGTGGTTCGTGAAGTACGGGAGCAGCAGGGCCTCGAGTGTATTCGCTACCGGGAGAGTTATCTTGCGATAAGACTCCTTTGTTGGCTGGTTTCCCCGGTTTGAGCAGTGGGACCACTCTCCCCATTTTCCAGATGTCTGGAGTGACGAGAGTGGCCATGGACAGGTTGAGGACCTCCGTTAGCTACGCTACTCCCGCAGGACCCAAATTTTTCAGCATCAACATGAATATTCCGTCGGGTCCAATGGCTTTGGAGGCTTTCGCCTTCCCGATGGCTACCCTTACCTCACCGCTGGTGAAAACAAGAGGCGCACTAGGTTTTGGCATTTTGTGCAGCCTTCTGGTCACTCGACGTTTGGCTTTATCCACCGGAGGATGCAGAATGAACTGCCGGCTAAAATAGCTCGCGCATCTCTCCGGGTCCGACGAAGCGTGGTCACCAAAGTCTATCTCGACTCTGTCATCGCGCTTCGTCGGGTTGGACAACGACCTCACGGTTGACCAAAGCTTGCTCACACCACAGGCGAAGTTGCAGGTCTTCAGATGCTCTTCCCATTTCTTCCGCTTATGTACGTTCACAAGTTGCCGAATCTCCGAATTGAGATCCCTAATGCGGGGATTTCCGGGATCGGCCTGACGAAAGGTATTGGCCCAATGCACGCTTGCTTTGCTTGCTTGACTTTGAGAACTGTCAAACAATTTTTAAAATCTACTAAAATGTATGAAAGTTGGCCTAGTGGCAGCTTTACTTCACTTGCTTGAAGCGCTTTAAAGTATCGATTAGCCGAAATCTCTATTTGACAGCGCGCTGTAGGCTTTTGACAACTCTTGACATTTCAATTTTTCGCGTCGATTTTGCTTGTGTGCAGTTTTTATCGCGTTCTTCATCAATTTTAGGTAAAATAATTTATATTAAACAATTATTTGTTGCTAACAACATTATTTTTTCAGATACCTTGCTTTTTATCGTTCCGGCCACCAGATTCGTTGGTTTTCATAAAGTTTCATTTGCCTGTGCCACTTCCACCCGTGTTTATAAGGCGTAATATTCAACTGGAGGTAAAAGAGTTTATATTAAACAATTATTTGTTATTAATAATATTATTTGTTGCTAACAACAATATTTTTTACAGATACCTTACTTTTTTATCGTTCCGGCTGCTGTATTATCCGATTCTTGTGTGTTGGTTGGTATATCGGAAGCTTTAGTGCAAGATGTTCGAAGAAAAACTTATAGCAGAGATTGAAAAACACAACTGCTTGTGGGACAAACGACAGCTTAGTTACCGCGATCGGGTGAAGAAAGATTTGGCTTGGCGAAATGTAGCTGCTGCTGTGGGACATCCTGGTTAGTATAGAGTTTTTCAAACATATAGCAGTTTTGTAATAGGACGAACCAAATTATAACAAATTTGTGACGAATAATTGTGACGAATACTATATTTTTACTTTACAGAGGAAAACTGCCGAAAGCGATGGAAATCGTTAAGAGACCGATATGGAATAGAATTGAAGGTTGATCAACAACCTAGCGGAAGTGCTGCGTCGTTTAGACGAGCTTGGCCATATTACGAAGCTATGTTGTTTTTGAAAGACACGGTCACGCCCAGACAGTAAGTGTACTTTACATTTGTACAACAAGTATTTATATTTTAAATTGTAATTTTATGTACATATTTTAAGGACAACAACAAACATCGTCTCCCAAACGCCAGAAGTTCTCGGACAAGAACCAGATATACTGGATACTTCCTTTGGATTCCAAATAGGCGAGAGTGGGAACATTATAATAGAAGAGCAAGAAACCACTGCCCCAACGCCGGCTAAGAGACAAAAGAAAAAAAACGATGAGAACGCCGCCTTTAACGATCTAGTCAACGAAGTAAGTCAGTTTGTGGATAGTCAAAAAAAAACACACAACAATTTCTTGGGTGCGATTGGCGAAGTGTTTGAGAAGGTCCCAGAAGAGAGCCGCCTAGATTTTCAAATGGACGTACTTCAATACGTCTATGCTCAATATAAAAATTATAAAAATTGAATTTACGAAATTTAAAAATTTAAATGACATCCAGTTTGAATTCAATTTTGCGAACTTTATATGTAATCTAATTTAGTATGAAATCTGATTTTGATTTTGCGAATTAAATATGTAATCGAATTTAATATGCAATCTCACAGAAAATGCTTGCTATAATTTCATTGTTTCTAATCAAACACAATTGTACATTTTTTTAAGAAAATATTCAGGATATTATTCCAAACGCGTGGTTTTCGATGCAAGTTTACGAGGCTTACGCGGTTACGAGACATTTAAATAAATAACCTGGATATTTTTTTTATAAAAAATTGTACAATTGTGTTTGATTAGAAACAATGAAATTGTAGCAAGCATTTTCGGTGAGATTGCATATTAAATTCGATTACATATTAAATTAGATTACATATTAAGTTCGCAAAATTTAAATCAAACTGGATGTCATTTAAATTTTTAAATTTCCTAAATTCAATTTTTATAATTTTTACATTGAGCATGTTTCGTTGTGAAAATGCACTGAAATATGTAAATGCAAGATCCTATGGACAAGATCCTGAACAGCCCTATTATTTAAAATACTAAAAAGTAGACTGTTTGTAACAACTTTTGTTTTATAAATAGGCAATACTTAAGTACCTTAAAAAGAAACATATTACTTAAAAGACTAAGAAGTATATTGTTTGTAATTCACTTTTGTTTTATAAATACGCCATATTTACAGTGGTCGAAAAATTATAGTCGCACCATATTTGACAAGTTTTAACATTTTTTTTTAAATTTTAGTAAATTTTTCATAAAAATATAGTTAATTCTTTAACAAAGCCCGTGTAAAAAATTCCGTTTTATAAAAAAGTCAAAATTAAAAAATAATATGTTAAAACTTGTCAAATATAGTGGGGCTATAATTTGTTTGCCCACTGTATGTACCTTAAAAAGAAACAAAACAATTAAAAGACTGAAAGGTATATTGTTTGTAACCACTATACTGTTTAAAACGGTTTTAACTTAAAAGACTGAATGAAATATATGTTATGTTAACGCCATTCTTACCTTGAACAAAAATTAATTTAAAAACCTGAAAGATGTGACGACATTTAAAACATTACCAATAAGTGCCCTCATACTGTGAGTTCAAATTTTTGTTTTCTATCTTAAATAATAAAAACAAAGCATATTCAGCGAGTAGTAATTATTTAAATTTTATTGTTAAAAAGATGTGTCTTCAGAGCATCCCTTAAATCATAATTATTTGAACTGCCTCGGTTCGATGACACCCTACTTATTGAGGGCAATGGAACTACTTCGTTTCGCCATGAGCCAGCGATGGTGGCATCCTCTTCGTAGCGATCAACAAAATCGCTTGCTACATAGTTTGCACACGAAAGCTTAATAAAATTATGCAAGACAATACAAGCTTTCACTATTTGTTCTGCATTTTTCGGGGCCATGCATAGCGTCGTTCTCAATATTCTCCATTTGGCAGTGAGTATTCCAAATGCGTTTTCTATAACTCTTCTTGCACGAGAGAGTCTTTTATTGAAATACTCTTGCTCTTCTGGAATACCTCTACCCGGATATGGTCGCATTAAATAACGCCGTAAGGGAAAAGCAGCATCTCCTACTAAATAATGTGGAAATGGCTCGGTTTCTCCTGGGAGAGGCTGATCATGTGGAAGGCCGAGCCTATCATTTTCAATAGCATCTGCCAGTTTTGAAAAGTGGTAGACACCGCCATCGCTTTGACTTCCATATGCTCCGATGTCAACGCAGGTAAAGGTATAATTGGCATCACATACGGCCAAAAGCACGATACTATAATTGCCTTTGTAATTATAGTACATCGACCCTGAATTCGCTGGACAGGTAATATTAATGTGCTTTCCGTCGATGGAACCAACGCAGTTGGGCATATTCCACAGCGACTTGAACTCATTGGAAATACGTCCCCATTCCGTTTCTGACGGGGTCGCCACATACAGGTCAGCTAACAGATCCCATATGGTCATACATGTCTCCAACGTAATCTTCCTGAAAGTCGTCAGGCCGATCCTGTGAACTATTGTGTGGAATTGCCGAGTGCCACCGTGAGCCAAATATCTGCAACAAAAAAATAAAACCAGATACATATATGGAAAATTATACGTATACTATTAAGTAAAACCGATTTTCTCTTACATCAGGGTTATAAATAGTCTGCAGCGGCTCGATATTGGTGTTCTGATTGAATATTTGGTCAGCGAAGCCTCCAGAAATTCGTGCAGCACATTAAATAACGAAAAGGGCATTCTTAATGTCTTGTTAAACTGCTCCTCATCTGCAGCCAAGTTTCTTAATGAACTTTCAAACAATCCATATTTGTGTCGCTCTAAGTACAATTTCCGAACCCAAAATCGGCGCTTCTGTTTTAATCGCAGTTTTAATTTACGCATTTTCGCTAAAATTAGGAAAATTCTCAAAACTTGTTCAGCATTTCGAGTCAACATTTTGTACTGCCAAATGAACCTTTATGAAAACCAACGAATCTGGTGGCCGGAACGATAAAAAGCAAGGTATCTGAAAAAAATAATGTTGTTAGCAACAAATAATTGTTTAATATAAACTCTTTTACCTCCAATTGAATATTACGTCTTATAAACACGGGTGGTGAGTGGCGCAGCCAAATGCAGCTTCACCAAAACCGGAACGATAAAAAAGAAGGTATCTGTAAAAAATAATGTTCTTAGTAACAAATAATTGTTTAATAACATATATTTTAACTAAAATTCACAATTATACTTGCTGGCACAACAAAGAATGGCGGGTATATTTGCGCGCATTGAAAATCAGCTGACTACTATGACAGCGTTCAAAGCTACCATTAGGCCATAAAAGCCTTCAAAGTAAAGCAAAGCAAACTAAAGTAAGCAAAGCAAGCGTGCATTGGGCCAATACCTGAAGGTTGTTGCGCTCATCAGCTAGAACAGCCGCTTCGGCAGGAAAATTCGGACGTGGATCCTTAATACATCCTGCTGGGATGAAGCGAGCTGCAGCAGCGGTGACAACCCTGCGGAACTTACGTTCACCTACATGAACGTCGGTTGGTATGGGTAGTGCAGTGAAGGCGCCCTCAGTAACATCCGTGAAGCCTTTCCAGTCAGCTTTGGAGAAGTTGACATAAGTCCGGTGATCCACGGAAGCAAAGTCGGCGGGTTTATCAATCGAGATGACTATGGGCAGATGGTCTGATGCTAGAGTCAGCATAGGTCGCCATGATACGCTGTTTATCAGACCAGCTCTGACAATTGTTAGATCTGGCGAGCTGCAGCAGCTGCACATAATCTTGGTGGGTGCGTCGTCGTTCATTGTGCAGAATGTCGAATCGTCTATCTGCTCAGCCAGATTTATTCCCCTACGATCATTTGACAGGCTTGAGTGCCAAAGATCGTGGTGCGCGTTAAAGTCACCAACTACCATACGGTTTTCACCTCTGAGTAGCGCACCTATTGTGGCACCAGCCGAGGCAAGAGTTGCAATTGACTGATGTCACGTTACGGTATATTCTGGACTGACAAACATAGCAGATTGTCGGAGGGACTAGGAGTTGCCGGCGGCGGTGTGTGGGTGCTATTGTGTTTGTTTGTGTCTCTATTGTTGTGTTGTGTTGGGGTGTGGGTGTGGGTGTGTTGGTTGTGTGCTGTCCAGGCGGATGGTGGTTTGCCGTGGAGGCGGTCCGGTTCGCACAGCATGGGGCCACGAACAACGTGGTCCATTGCCGGTGCGTACGCAGGCCCGAGCAGTTACGGAGGTGACTCCACCCGTCCCAGGCTTTGCACCTGACCGAGGTGGAGTTTGTATGCAGTCTTCTCTGGCATACGCAGCAGGTGTAGATTTCTGGCCCTGGGTTTGACTATGCCAGCCAGGATCGAGCAACGTTTGATGGATTTCGCCGACCTAAACGGGGTTAGATCGCCGAAACAACAGCCCTTGGTCGGGTAAAACCCGAGTCATTCCGGTACGTAGAACCGGCTGTCGTGGGAATGCTCAACTGGTCAAAGATGTCAATGTATCCTATCTTGAACGCCGTGCGAAAGAAAATCTTAACTCGATGAACTATCCTAACTTTGAACTAACTCAGCGCTTTCAGACAAACTATCTTATTTCAGAAACGCATATTTTGTGTGTCGTATGTTAGGCTGTTAAGCTATGGAGTTAAGACAC